AACCGGTCTGTATGTGGGATCCGAACCCTTGGGCGGGAGCGCCGCCGCGCTTCCCAAGCGGCGCACTATCCAGTGCGCCACTGGGCCGGCCCTATGGTGTCTATTTTAATGTATTATTGCTTTGTGTTTTAATTTTGGGGATTTTTAATATTAATATGTGAGATAGAATTGCAGTTTAATTGTGTCATCTCTGTCAAATTTAGCGTTAATGTTACACTGGCTTTACATAAAAAATTAAGAGGTTTTTCCTTTCATTCTTCAATGTGCTGGAAAATTTAACATCATTGGGATGTTTAACATATTTGGTCCTTGGAATTTCAAAGAACCTGTGAAATTGGGCCAAGAACAAATTTTTCCACTGGAAAAACATGATGCAATTTATTAAAATCCATTAAAATTGATTAAAATTATTAGTTTTAATTTTTTTGTAGTGAAAATTACTCACTTTTAGATTCAGTTACTGTAAAATAAGTAAAATAGATTCTTTTTTTCCCCTTTTTGTCTTTTTTCGTAACCGGTAACGGGATCGCAACCCTCAGTGTCGCGCCTGCACCGCGCTCAACCAGTGAGTGGAAATAAAATAGATTCTTTTTTTCCCCTTTTTGTCTTTTTTCATAACCGGTAACGGGATCGCAACCCTCAGTGTCGCGCCTGCACCGCGCTCAACCAGTGAGTGGACCGGTCTCTATATGGGATCCGAACCCTCGGCGGGAGTGCCGTGCTCCCAAGCACCACACTCTACCGAGTGCACCACTGAGCCGGCCCAATAAAATAGATTCTTATCTGTAGGCAAAATGTAATGAAAGCTGAAGAAACTTGCTACCAAGCACCACACTCTACCGAGTGCACCACCGAGCCGGCCCAATAAAATAGATTCTTATCTGTAGGCAAAATGTAATGAAAGCTGAAGAAACTGCTTTTCTTTTTCTAAAATCATGTATTACATTCTAATATTCATTGAACAAAATGCAACTACTCTTTTTGTATTTCTCAATGTCAACAAATTTATTTTACTTATACCTTATTTCAAAGGCTGGGTCTCATGACTTTCACACTTACTTTTCCAGTTCCTCCTGTGAGTGTGCAAATGTACAGCTGGCCCCACGAGGGCATCCTCCTCTCTGCTTCATATCTCGACACATGTATGTTTTATATTTGCTATGCTGTGGAGGCTAAGACCAAAATCAAAACATCAGACATTTAAAAGATACAAAAACACAAGTTTTGTGTTGCCATTTTAGAAGCTTGACAATCTAGATGAATAATTCAGACTAATTCACATTACCTAGACTACCCAGAGCAAAAGCTGTAGAAAATCATTCTGTCTGAAGTCTGAGTCCAAAAATAAATAAATAATCAAAAAGGTAGTTCAAATTTTTCTGATATGTTGATATTAATCCTCAAACATGCAGCATCATATAAATTCTTGAATAAATTTCATGGGGGCTCTATGATCTTCTTTCCAGGTTTTATAATGGAAAAACAAACCACTGGAGTGTAAAACTTTCAAATGAATAAACTCTCTTTTAGTATTTGTTTTGTATAATGTTCAATATAGCTATACATGTAATTATGTTTTTTTATAACACATCACAAAATCTACAAAAGGCCCTAAAACTAAACGATATTCTAGAATCAATTTTTTTTGACCTGTGGAAGAATATACTAAGGACTTAAAATATCTCCAAAGGTACGAACGAAACTTATTATTTACAACTCAATAATAAGGCAGGAGGATGGGTTTGGAAGTTAGTGAGATATCAAACACAACACTAAACTGAACAAAATTTAAGTACAGTTTATGACTACTTGGCATGATTTCTGTTATATTCTTCAAGATGTCTAATGAAACAGAGTTAAAAATTGTAGGTTTTTCCTTTCTTTTATTTCTTAGTCATAAAATAAAGCTCTCATCTGTGTTAAGACTGATTAGGAAAATCATATCCTGATTATTCTACTTATTGGCAGGATGCTCTTTATATTTCTTGCCTCACAAGAAAAAATAATAAATATTGAATAATCTATCGTTAATATTTACCTGAGCCAGGTAAATTACTAGCAAAATTTTAAGTTCATAGGCTTATTACTGCAAAATAAAACATCTAATGAACATAATATGAATCCTGAGAACAAAATAATCATTGGGAATAAATGTTAATATTTACCTGAGCCAGGTAAATTACTAGCAAAATTTTAAGTTCATAGGCTTATTACTGTAAAATAAAACATCTAATGAACATAATATGAATCCTGAGAACAAAATAATCATTGGGAATAAAGTTAAAACCTCTAGCCATAAGTTATTATGTTTTATTTTCACATATTTCATCTTAAAAATTTTGAGGAATAAAAAATCTTAAAATACTAATACAGAAAAAACATTTACAAGATACGTGAAAACTTTTAGAGAGATATAGAATTAGCATTAAAGTGACACCTACCGTCAAACTGAAACGCAATACAAACTAAAGAGAATAATCTTATTTAAATGGAGTAAACTTTAGCATGCTAAAGTCTACTTTCTCCATCAAATGCTGCTATATCTAACATAAAAAGTGACCCTTGTTTAACAACATTAGATCAATAAGGATTATTTAATTACAATGTAATAAGATAAAATTACTAGGTAGAGTGCCGAGAGCCCCAGAGTGCTGTAGTATTGCAAATATCATAGCTTTCACTGGTGGTAAACTAAGATGGGATACAAGTAGAAGGTAATGCACTGGCAGGTGTGGTGTGTTTCAGGCATTTGAGAAAGTACAAGAGTACTTTTAAAAGTTCATGGAAAGATTCATATTATCTTTCAGTTCTATTTTTCCACAAACTTTTTTGAAGTATCCTCATATAGGGGAAATAGTAATTATCATGATAAGAGCTTTGGAATGAGTTGTACAGTAAAGCAGCTGCTAACCATCCTAAAGTAGTTTATAGTTTCTACAGTCAGTCAAAATATTCATGTCATCTTTTTGGCTTTGTATCTGTATACCCACACTGGCTTACCTGTTTCAAGGTATATCCTACAGAAGCTTAACTCTAAGTTTCAAACTTCTCCCTTACCTGCTGTTGATCTGCTCCTTTTTTGCTATGGTTCTGGATATAATCAACCAGCCCATGTACCACTGTACGCACAGCAACCAGTCCATTTTCTAGCTGTTCCCAAGTAGGAGGAGGAGCATCTACACAACAAATTAAAAAATATTTTTAAAACTATAATGTTACATTCAATATTGTGCCCTATATTAAATTAATAAAAAGGTTTTCAGCACTTCAGTGAAATCAAGTTAAGCTGCATGCAGCTTTTCAGATAATAGCTTCTCCACCTAACCATCATTTTAAAGGAACGGATATATTCTTCTAAAGCTGGGGTTGTAAACTAGAATAACCACAGGTCCAGGGAAGGTAACATAAAGGTATTAAGTAGGCCAGACAATAATAGCAACTGTCATTAGACCCTCTGTGTTGAAGAGAAAATAGAGTGTGACAGGGATTGTACTGAATTAGAGAACATGTCTCTCATCTAAGGATACGGTTATTACTCAGCTTTAGCTTATTATTTTTGTGCAGGTGCAAGGCTGGAACTGCCACATATATCACTGTTTCCCAGGGAAACCTGATATCTGAGATTTTTAAGTAAAATTTCCCTGACTTCAGGTGTTGGGACCTAACAAATTTAAAACGTTATGCAGAACTGTGTTGGACCAAAGAAAATTTAACTGTGGACTGCCTGCAGTATGTCAATTTGTATGTTTATCTTGAAGTTTTATATAAATCGAGTATTGGTTTTAAAAAAAAAAGTTTGGGCCAGCCCCATGGCTCACTCAGGAGAGTGCAGCACTGGTAGCTCCGAGGCTGCAGGTTCGGATCCTATATAGGGATGGCCGGTGCGCTCACTGGCTGAGTGTGGTGCAGACAACAGTGTGCTGAGGGTTGCGATCCCCTTACCAGTCAAAAAAAAAAAAGTTTAAAAGCTTAATACAGTAGATATTGGGTAAAGCAACTCTGCTACATGTCTTATTTGGTATTTGCCCAGTGCCAGCACTATGATTTTATAAAGGAAAACTAACCATGTAGTAGACTGAATTATGTCCTCCCAAAACTCACTGAACCTTGAATTGTGTCCCCCAAGTTTATGTATTAGAATCTTAGCCCCCACTGTAACTGGTAAGAGGGTGGGAAATCCTATTATGGTAACTGAAAGGCTAAGCCTTAAAAAGGTGATTGGATTGTAGGACCATGCCATAGTGAGTGGATTAAAAATGGTGGTCAAGGCCGTGGTTCTGAGGGCTTTAAAAGAAGAGGAGAGTCTGTTTCTCTTTGCTCTCTCTGCTTCCACCATCTTGCAATGTGAGATCTCTGGGTCACTGTCACCACCACCAGATAGACTTTGGACTTCCCAGTCTTAGAAACTGTAAGCAATAAATTTCATTTTTCTTTATAATCACCCAGTTCCATGTATTCTGTTATAAGCAACACGAAACGGACTAAAACAAACCATAAGGCTAACTATGAAATATTCTCTAAAAGAAATATAAAATGAAGTGAGAAGAGAAATGTAGAGATGACTTCCTCTTGGAGACATTCTGAAAAACTTCTAGGTGATGGCATTTGAACTGGGCTTTGAAGGACATGTGGAATTTCAATAGGAAAACGAAAGGTGAAGATAGAGAGGTGAAGAGAACAGTCATTCAAAAAGTATTTTTTGGAGTCTCTACTAAGTCCAAGGCATTGTTCTAGTTGCTGGGGAAGCAATACTGATCAAAACAAAAATCCCTATTATATTCAAGAACCAGACAATAAATAAGACAAATAATCAAAATATACAGATGCTCCCTGACTTGTGATGAGGTTACGTCCCAATAAATTATAAGCTGAAAATATCCTAGTTGAAAATGCACTTAATACACCTAACCTAGTGAACATAGCTTAGCGTACCTTAAATGTGTTCAGAACACTTACAATTAGCCTACAGTTGGGCAAAATCATCTAACGCAAAGCCTATTTTATAATAAAGTGCTGAGTATCTTGTACAATTTACTGAATACTGCACTGAAAGTGAAAAACAATGGTTGTATGGATACTCAACGTACTGTTTCTGCTGAATGGGTATGACTTTCACACCATCATAAAGTTGAAAAATCCTAACCACCAGAAGAAGTTGGGGACTGTCTGAATTTAGATAATGATGAATTAAAAAAATAGAGCAAAAAAGAGAAATGGGGAAGCTATGTGTAAAATTTTAGAGAGGCCAGAGAAGGCCTCCTTGAGAAGGTTACATTTGATTAAAGACCTGAAAGAAGGGTCTGAGTGCTCTTTGCAGAGATACTAGAGGAAAAACATTCTAGTTAGAGGAAAGAATAAGTGCAAAGGCCTTGCTGTAGGAGCCTGCCTGACATGTTCTATGAGGGTGGAACCAGAAAGAAGTGAATTAAGTAGGAAAAGAGTAGGAAATGAAGTTGGAGAGAGGTAACAGAAGACCAGACCATCCGAGGCCTTGCAGATCATGAAAAAGATTTTGGCCTTTACTGAGTGATGGAAAGCCACTGTAGAATTTTTGGGTGACAGAAGGATGACAAGATCACTCTGGCTCCTATGCTAAACTCAGACAATAATCCATGGAGAGAGATGAGGATGGTAGCGGTGAAGGTAATAAGAAGTAGATGGATTCTGGATGGATTTTAATGATAGTTAGGGCCCATAGAATTTGCTGATGGATCACATATATGAGCACATTATGAGAGAAAGAAGAATCAAGGATATCTGGTAAGGTTTTCGGACTGAGCAATTGAAAAGATGGAGTTGCTACTAACAAGATGGGGTGAGGAGCTTATTTTTTGGACAGATTAGGTTATAAATACTTATCAGATATTCAAGTAGAGCTGCTAGATGTTGAGAAAACAGTAGGATCTATAAAAACAAGCTCAGGAAAAAGGTCTAGGTTGCATATACTACATTTCATTATTTTATGTGCCACCAAAATAGAAAAAAAGATTGTTATTAAATTATTACATGTCATTGTACAAACATATCTCAATTTCAGAAATGCTAAGATCTGAAAGAAATATGGGCGTCAGAACTGATAAACCATAGTAAATTTGTGAGTCATATAAATGGTACTTAAAGCTATGAGACTAGATGAGATTATTTAGTAAATGGATATAAATAGAAAATATAAGAGATACAAGGATTAAACTCTGGAACACTACAAAGGTTAGAATCTGTGGAGATAAGGAGAAATCAGCAGGTAATGCTGTAAAGAAGAGTCCAATAAGTTAAGGGAATTAGGACAGTGTGGTGGCCCAGAAGCCAAGAAAAAAGCGTTTCAAGGAAGAGAGAGTGAGCAATAATGTTAATTGCTGCTGACAGGTCAAATACAATGAGAACTGAGAATTGACCTTTGGGATTAGCTACATGGAAGCCACTTGTGTCTTTGACAAAATAAGTTTGGACACAGTGGTGGAGATAAATTCCTGACTGAAATGAGTTCAAGAGAGTGCCATGAAAAGGAGAGAAATAAGTGTGGTAGGTAGATGGGAAATGGAGTAAAAACTGGATTAAGATGAGAGAAGTAACACCATGTTTGTAATTTAACAGAAATACTCTAATAAAGAAGAAAAACTGAAGATACAAGAAAGAGAATACTGGACATTTGACAAGAATATTGACAAGATGATATCTAGTGCATGAGGCAAGAGGGTGGCCTTAGCTAGGTGCATAGTTTATCCACTATTATACAAGGAGAACAGAATATATTGGCACAAGTATAGGTAAATAGATTTGATTAAGTAATTTTTGGAGTAGATCTATAAAAGTAGACTGTTAAAAATTAGGAGGGCTCTGGATGTCATAGTCAAGAGTTCCAAACCTTATTCTATTTTCAATGGAATATCACTAAGTTTATGAGTGTGGAAGATCAGAAATATGACTTACTTTGCAGTAACAAGTAGACTAGATTTGAAGAATTAATAGGAGAGGAAACTGGAAGGTATTCAAGTCTCAGGGAAAGGGAATGAGGCTCTCACTAAAGAAGTAATAACAGGCAGGGGACAGAGGGATATTTGTGAAAAGAACAGATAAATGCCATTGTCTGAAATGGTATGTAAAGCAAGTGAAAGGAAAAGATACAAGGCAAGACAAAACACTAAGGTTTTAAGCTCACATAACCACAGAGAATGAGGTCATTAACACAGAGAGAAAACACAGGAAGAACAGCTGGTATCAAAGACGAGCTTGCATTGAAACACAGGATATAATGGAGAATCTCAGCAAGCATTTGGGAAATGGATCTGAAGTGATGAAGAGACAAGAGGGATAGAAATATTTGGGAGTCTATTTCTATACAGAGGTAATTCCTGATGCTAAGAATTAATAACCATCATCAACATAGAATGCAGAGAAAATAAAGTTTCAAGAGCACAATCTGCCTACTCTTTAGTGGAGAGGAGGGGAAAGAGTGGTACAAATGAGACAGAAGCAGCACTCATGTCAGAAGAGATCCATGAGACTACAGAAAGATAAGGTGTCAGAGAGTTTCTATGTCGAAGAAGTGGCCAACAACATTATCAAAAGCTGAAGACAAATGAAGTAATTTAAGAACCAAGAAGAAGCCTTTGGAATTAGAAACCGGGAAACTACTAGTGAATATTAAGAGAGTTACAGTTAAGTAGTAGGAATAAAAACAGGCACAGTGATAGGATGAAACCTAAAATATCTTAGATGTAAGTAATAGGTGAAAAATGAAGGTTTAGATATATTTTTAGGTCAAGAAGGAGCAGGAAAAGATTGACAAAGTAAAGATATGCAAGAGGATATTTGATAGAATAAGACATCGTGGACAAGGCAAAACTGGGATCAAGGTAGAAATAAGAAAAACAAGTTTTGGCAAAGAGTTGAGGATGGTAAAATACAGTATAATTTTGTGCTGTGAGAAAGAACATAAAGACCAGAGAGATCTATCTTCCTAGTAAAGTGAGCAGCACAGTAAAAAGTTTATTCAACAAATATTAGTTTGTTTAATACTAATTAAAGTGAAGTGAATTAACCTGTGACACAGAGGGACAAGATTTGGGACAAAAACTTAAATTCTGTAGAAAATATCTGGGATAACCACTCTGGGAAATTACAGAGGAATACAACAAAAGATAATTTAAAAATCATCAAGTAGCACTAAAGTTACACATAAGATAGTCCATTAATTTCTCTTGAGTTTACCTGGGCTAGGGTCAATGTTTGCTAATAGCTCCAAATGGGGTCTTAATCGGTTCAAGTTTGCTGGGTCTCCAGTCCGCTGGAGAGCAATTGTTAGTTCCTGAACACTCTGTGCAAAAGAGGCCGGAGTCTGCAACTTAAAAAAGATAAATATTAACTTTCCCAAAGGGCAGATAATCCTTTTAAGATAAAGATTATTTACAACATCACAATTATTTTTGCAGTTTATTAAATTTAATTTTTATTTTCCCCCACATCCTACACTTTGGCCAGAATGGATTACCTGTTACCTGAACGAATTCTGCACTTCTCTGCATCCACAGCTTGGCACACCGTACTCACTGTTCCTCTAGTGTCACATTCTTCAAATATGAGACCTTTCTCAATTCCTCAATTTACAAGTACCCTTTCCATCCTATGATCTTACGATACTATGTTATAGCTTGGCTCTTGAGGGTCCTCCTAAGTAACTGAATTTGGAAATACAGTCTAGTGATAACTCTATACAATATCAAGAACAATGACACATATCAGTCAAACTGAGTTTGAGTTCAAATTGTTAAGAGCAACAATCATGACACTGAATATAAACATTACAGACTCAATCTGAAGTCCATCTGTTAAGTGGACTAAATAATTTCAGAAGTCCACTCCAGCTGAAAAAAATCCTATTTTAGTTTGGGATTCTTGGAAGCTATCAGGTTGTGCATTTCTCCAAGGTTTAATGATACTTTCACATTAACTCACCTCAGCTGGCCATACATATGACCTTTAATTTTTTTTTTTAAAAAAAGATTTTGTGATAGCAACTAAGGATTCTTACTTGTAAACATTTAGCTCTTTGTGCAGTTTATTAATATAGATGGGAATTTTTCTCCCCCAAAAGGTCACTGTACTAAAGGTAATTTTTTTAAAAAGCACACTTTTAAAAAAAACATGGAAAATAAACCCAATTACCACTAGAATGCAGGCATACCTTTATTCATTTTTCTCATCTTTGCAATTTTTTAAATGTACTTATCAGCTATTTATATACTTATAGTTTTGGCTTCCTTTATTATTATAACGAAGGCATTCTTATATAATATAATGACAATATCCATGTATCTATCACCAAGACTTAATAAATAATAACACTCCACTACCATTTTTTTTTTAATTGTTATGTATCAGCTGAAGAGGATATCCCTCCTTACCTACCTGTAATTTCAATGGCCATGTAATGGTGTTCTGAGCAGATAAATCTTAACTTTCTCTAACCATTCCCTTGTTTTTTTCTTTGTAAATAATGCAGCAATTAATACCCTTGAGCTCCTAAGTTTTCAAAGTTTGGATTCTTTCCTTAAAACAAATTCTTGGGAATAGTAAGTTTGGTCAAAAAACAGGAACATATTATGGGTTTTTATTCACTGACAAATTACTTCCCAAAAACATGTAATGCACTTTGTAGACCATCAGCAATGTATGAGAGTATACACTTTTTTTTACTTAAACAGGCAATATTTGGTATGTTACTGTTTTAAATATATATTTCTTTAATTATTATCAGGGCTGAATTCTATCCCATCAATTATATACTGATGGGTTCTCTTTAGGAACTGTTAATTCATGTTTCTCTCCCTATTAATTTACTAGGATTAATGATTTTCTTATTATTTTTAATAAGTTCTCTATTTGCACTGTCCAATATGCTAGCCTTAGCAACATGTGGCTATTTAAATTTCAATTAATAGGGCCGGGCCCGTGGCGCACTCAGGAGAGTGTGGCGCTGGGAGCGCAGCAGCGCTCCCGCCGCGGGGTCGGATCCTATATAGGGATGGCCGTGCACTGTGCGCTCACTGGCTGAGCGAGGTGCGGCCGGCCTCAAAAAAGGACAAAAATAAATAAATAAATAAATTAATTAATTAATTAAACAAAAATTTCAGTTCATAGTTGCACAAGTCACATTTTAAGTGTTTAACAGCCACGTGTGGCTGGTGATCACCATATTGGACAGTGCAAACACAGAACATTTCTATTATCACAGAAAGTTCTACTGCTCCATATAATAATAAGATATCACATATACTTCAAAATTTGTTTTATCAGTTTGTTGTACAAAAGTCTCTGGATGTTAAATTCAAAATACTGCTCATGATGTGAGAAAATTATCATAGGATATACAGATAGTTATATAGTTCAGTTCAAGACAAGAAGGTTAACCTCCTTGTAGAATCTTTATAAAAGCAAGCCAAGTTTCTCTCCAGGGATAGAAGGGTACTCCTTTAAGAGATCATTATTAAGATTTCAATAAGATATAATCAGTCAGTTGTATAATTTCAGGTACAAGCTCCTGTCCAAATCTTGGAGTGCAGGTAAAATCGTGTCAAAGGTATCCAGGGAAGACTTATAGGACAGAGCAAACAACATACATTACACTGAAAATTATGCACCAAGCAGTTAAAAAACACATTTCCTAATACTCTTTTGACATGAATTTATTACTCAAAGAATTCTATCTTTGAGAATAGAAAAAAAAGTGGAACAGAATAGTCTGGTAAAAGGTTTAGTGTTTAAGAACATTATTCTAGAGTCAGAATAACTGACTTCAAATCCACTTCTGTCACTCATTACCATGTGATACTGGAAAACTGTACTTAACTTCCCTGTGTATAAAAGGGATAATAGAGGGCAGCTGAGAGGAATAAATGCATTATTTAAAACCACCAGGCACATATTAAGCTCTTAGTAAGTGTTAACTATTATTTTTAGGCTACTCTTACAGTTTGACCCTATTTCTCTACATTAGGGTGGTCTCTAGAGTTGGCAATCATCTCTGCAATTATAACTATTTAAGGCAAAATAGTAAAAATTAAATAATACTATTGAACATAACATATATTACATGGTGCTTTAAGACTTTTTTACAGCACTTTCATACATTTCATGTTGAATTACAACAAAAATAGAGTTCAGCTCTAGTTTTAAGAAAAACATGGGTCTTGGAGTCAGATACAAATACTGAAGCCTGACCTAAAACTCACATCTATTCTAATGGTCTTTTCATCATAACAGATAAAGTAGAAATAAGTTTACTGAGAATCTGATCAAACTTAGAATGACAGTAACTTTATTATTATGGGAAATTATTCTGGCTGAGAATCATAAGAAACTTCAACGTACAGATCTTCCAGACCATCAAATAACTTCTATGGGAAGACAGTAAAGGCATTTAGATGGGACTGTAAATTAGTGCAGTCATTATGGAAAACAGTACGGAAGTTCCTCAGACAACTACAGTTAGAACTGCCATACAATCCAGCAATCCTGCTGCTGGGTATATACCCAAAGGAATGGAAATAATAATGTTGAAGGGATACCTGCACTCCTGTGTTTATTGCAGGTCTATTTATAATAGCTAAGAGTTGGAACCAACCGAAATGTCCATCTTGGATGACTGGATAAGGAAAATGTGGCACATACACACAATGGAATATTACTCTGCCATAAAAAGGAATGAAATTCTGCCATTTGCAGCAACATAGATGAACTTAGAGAAAATTATGTTAAGTGAAATAAGCCAGGTACAGAAAGAGAAATAGTGCATGTCCTCACTCATAAGTGGGAACCGAAAAACAACAACAAAAAAGAAAGATACAACATTCAATAATTCCTTGAACTCTCAAAAGGAGAGAACGGAACTGAGGACACCAGAGGTGGGAAAGGGGGTGTGGCGTGCGCTGTTAGATAGAAATTGGTAAAAGGCCACAAAAAATGTTTATATTGTACAATAATAAAATAAAAGTAAGTAAAGGCATTTAGAAAATGGGTTTAACTAACAATGATCAAAACTCAAAGAGAACAGTAAATGAACGGAGAGAGGCAATGAAAAAATAGAAATGGGAGACAAACAAGTGGGAGAACACTGGATAAAGCATTACAGCACTAATCAAATCTTTATATGAACAAACTGGTATTACGATGTGACTAGTATGACATGACAATTGGCTACAGAGAATGCAATTTACAAAAGTCTGACATACAGTATTCACTTTAATACATTTTTTTTGCCAGCTGGTCAGTATGGAATCCAAACACTTGACCTTGCTGTTATAAGGCTGTGCTCTAACAAACTGAGCTAACCAGTCAGTACTTAATATACATTTTTAAAATAAATGAATCACCAAATTGCAAATTACCAAAACTCCAAGATTAGTCTAAGAAATAAGGATCAAAAAATGCTTTACCTTATCAATAATGGACTGCATATGAGATTTGTGAGACTGATCTCCATAAAGCAAAGAAGACCATTGGTCTGGTGCAATTCGTAAGCCTGCTTCCATTGCAATCTGCACTATCTGGGAGTCATGTTCTCGTCTCAGAGCTTCATAGGTTCTAAACTCTTCTTTCAGTTGCATCAAAGAAGAGTCTTCATCACGTTTGGTGACCTAATAAAACACAAATAATCTCATAATGAGGTAAAAAACCAAAATGAGTTTATACTTTATATGAACAAGTTTAGATAAAATAACTTTAATGTAACAAATCTATCAACAATAGCAAGATTTCTCCTTTTGCAGATGTCAAAATCTTTATTTTTTTTGTCTTTTTGTCCGTGTCCGGCAACGGATCGCAACCCTCAGTGTTGCCCCCGTACAACGGATCGCAACCCTCAGTGTCGCGCCCGTACCAGACCGGGACCGGCAATGGGATCGCAACCCTTGGTGTCGCGTCCGCACCTCGCTCAGCCAGTGAGCGGCCGGTCTGTATGTGGGATCCGAACCCTTGGCGGGAGCGCCACCGCGCTCCCAAGTGGCGCATTGTAGCAGTGCGCCACCGGGCCGGCCCCAAAAGATGTGTTCCATTCTAATTACAAAAAAGAATATCTAACTTACTTTTGTTAGGAAAGTCCACAGAAAGATCAAATAGATATATATCAAGAGCTACAGACACACGAACTAAATATATTTTGTTACTATTCATAGGCAAGTCAAAAGACCGTGCATATGTATGAAAACACCCCTTCAATTTACACTAAAACTCATTAAAATGTAGAATATGCTTTCCAAATTTTATACTGATTCTGAAGACTTGGCTCTCAACACTCTCTTTAACCAAAAACAATCAAGGATTTCCAAGAGATGCAATGTCTAAAGTGCTAGAACTATATTAACCTTCAGCTCAAAAAGGTTTTTTGAAAGATGAAATTATCCGTCAGCTCAAAAAGGTTTTTCTAACGATAATATAGGAGATACTAAAAAGACGCAACCATAACAGAGCTCTATAAACACATATTACTGCAAGGAAAAAAATCATGACCAAAATAAAAAATAATTGGATTTTTACACATTTCCAATTTTTAAAACTACTGTTAATGCTTTTAGTTAGAATTGAGAGAGTTTTACTTTGTGGGTATTCTCAGGTTTTTGAGCCATTTATTATTCTTCATAGTGGAAGGCTGGATTTTTTTCTTTCCTTTTTTTTAAAGCTTCCTTTATTATATCTGTCTGGTGCTGTTAATGCAGAACAAGTAACACTAGAAGCACACATTCTGAAATATATTCTGGATTACATTATAGAATCATGTTACTCTAACTACTACAGTAAAAGTGATTTACTCAGAGACAATCTGGACAAGATGTTGGCTAGAGGTTTTGACAGCTTCAGCTTAGGAAAACAGAGGTCCATTTTTAGTACAAAATCTGACTCTAGAAAGAAACAAAATAGGGTTATAGCATTTATCTAAAGCTTTTTAAAAAAATTTTAAATATTAAATCTACATGTTCTGTTAATTTTGTGAACCATTTTCTCCCCAATGGATGAGAGAATAGAATAAAGCAGAAAGGCTAATGTGTGCTTTTTTAGTTTATGAGTGTCAGATGTGGGAATGTGGTGACCTCAGGAATGGACTCCCTTGTAGCTAGCATAAATAAATGAACAATTTTTTAAAGACATGTTTTTCCTGGTCCATAAGGTACTGTCTATGGGTTGGGCCAGAAGAAAGAAGCCTTGACTTTAAGAAGTCAGAATGATAAGATAGGATAAACAATAAATGATATACAGTGGGCACCAATGTTTGAGGTAGTGCTAATTCAATTTGGTATACAAGGGGGATATGTCCAGTATTACCATATATGCTGAAACTGAAATGGCAATCAGAGCTCCAGTACTGCATATGTGGAATTATACCAGGAGCAAATCTCCAAATAAAACTAATTCATGCTTCAATGACTCTCTCTTCAGACCAATTCTGGTGGGAAACTGACACGGCTTATTAGACTCTTCATATGCAAAAATCTGTAAGTCTTGGTTTAATCTACATTGTTCAATATTCAACATATAAATTCAACACACAGGATTTAACTATAATGGGACACCACCTACTTTCACTAAAAGAGAAAAGAGAAATTAGTGAATTTTTTGGAAAAGACATAAGCAACTTGCTTAAACTCAAAGTTTTTATTACTTAAGTTTGGGAAAAGCACGTTTCCTTTCAAGCTGGACTTTTTAATACAGGTTCATACCTTGAAGCAGGAGGCTCTATAAAGGAGCTGAACAACATGCCCAATGCTAGTTTTAGAGGCTTGAGGAAACCGTGGCTCCAACCTTTGCACCACAAAGAGAACCAGTACTTTTCTTGACAAAGCAGAACCATCTTCTAAGGCCAGCAGAACCAGCTTTAGAGCTTCCTCCTGCATTGCTAGGAAAAGTTGGACAAAACCAAAACTTGTCATGTGCAGAGATAAGAAAAATCATTTACTAAAAGGGCAACATCTAATAATTTCTGCAGATATCACTCAATTAATGGGCAACACAATAAAAGATACTCACAGCTTTTAAACCATTTTTGTGGGCAATTTTGTTTTATATCCTATATATTTTATTAAGGAAGCAGGTAAGTGATTAGAACATTAAAAAAAAAAACCTTATACTGAAATAATAGAGCTGGCTGGTTAGCTCAGCCAGTAGAGCGTGGTGCTGACAATACCAATGTCAAGGATTCAGATCTCTGTACTGGCCAGCTCCCCCAAAAAGAAGTTGGCATTAAGAAAAAATTTTAAAGTTCTCTGAAAAACTAACTTAAATGGAATTACCCAAGCCATGACTATCAAGTGGGATATTACTTGATAGCGATAGAATATTGCAAAGAACTAGCCTTTGTACATCACTTATAGTTCCTATAGTTCCTATACCATACTTTTAGAATTACTAGTAGAATAAATACCAAACTTTAATTGTATACCTGGTCCAAGGAACTGGCAGCCCCTAGCCCTGACTGCTGCCCAAAGATTGGAAGAGAGTTGCTGAGGATTCTGATGCTGGAGAATGAGCTCTGTAACTGTTCGTTCACCCAAAGATCGAGCTGCCCTCATGGCACGAATCCTGCCTTCTTCTTCTACTAGTTGGCAGTGAACCAGAGTCACAAGCTTTCTCTGCATTGGGCGACTCAGAACACTCTGAGTAGTGCTATTCAGACCCACTCCTTCAAAAGAGAGTAAAAAAGTTATTTCTAGGTTTACAGTGCAATTCTACAGTCCAAAAGCACTTCTTCTGATGGGCTGATTGACTTGTGGGTATGTAAATAGACTTGTGGATCTTGCCAGAATATTTAAAAGAAATGATAAATAAAACTATACAAGTGAAGCCTAGTTAGCATTTTAAAAGTACACAAATGTATACATTAGTTATCTAGTGTAAATTTAACATTCATTATATTAATTATACCATCATTCATTTTAATCATGGAGAAAGAAAGAAAAAAAGGCTGATTCCATTAACAATTAGTTTAAGACTCCAGTCTTAGGGTTATAATAGTTCTGGCATATCATTTCACAGTGGTTAATCTTACTTTCATTATTAAATAGCAAGCCCCTTCTGGGCAATAATGGCAACTTCCATTTTTATTATATCCCCTATAGCACACCATATAAAACTAGACAGAAGGCAGAGTTGTCAAATGATGGAAAACCCTTCTGAGACACTAGTGTACTTACACTTCTGCAATCATTCAAATGCTGCCAACATCACATAAACTCTAAATTCATTACTTTATTTGATGTGATTTGTAATAATATTACCTAAAAAGAGTGGGGTTTGTTTACAATAAATTAATTTCATTAACATTCATTTATAGCTCAGTTTTTATGGTAATAGAAATATCTGTAGGTTTGCATAGGTAAGTTCTGATCAAGATGGCAGAATATATGGTCCCCAGTGTCATCCTCTTCCACAAATCAACCAATTTACAACTATAAAAATGTAATGACAGCCAAGCTGGGGCTGCTGGAGCTCAGGGAAAGAAGAGGAGAGACCTACAGAGTTCATGAAGGGAGAGAAGCCACGGTGGGAGAAAGAAAAAACTGCTCAGAGTGTTTCGGGCCGCGGCCGCTTTAAGGCTGAAACTGCTGAGTACATGGAGCAGGAGCTGGCAGAAGCCGCAGCTGTGCCCTTTGGATGGAGTTGCATGGAGGCAGCAGGGCAGAAGGGGGCGTTGGTGGCCCCTAGGACAACAACCACTAAGAGGGCACCATGGACCCATGCAGGAGCAAGGAGCCAGAACAGCTGAAAAATGGGAGCCATTCAGAGGCCAGTGAGTCATTGCAAAGGACTGGCGCAGGGCCTGTCCCACGGGAAGTGTTTGGAGCACAGGCGCTAGGGAAGATGGGCCCACCAGGAGAATGCTGGGACACAGCAAGGACAGCTGATCCACCTCCCAGTCAGCACAGGACCATTCAGAGGAAACAGGTCAGGAATGCAGAATTACATGGGTTGCAGTTTGATGAAAAGATTCAGGCCCAGATCAGAGTTTCAACACAACCCAGGTGCACCCAGTCTCTGGAGAGCCAGAAATACCTATAAGGTCAACCATTAAACCCTGAATTCCACAAAAAGTCTTCCCTAGGGAAACAGCAGCAAAGCAGCAATTTACCTCAACAATACAGCTCAAGTACTGGTTCCCACAGGAAGTTCCCCCATTTTAGAAGTAAGCATGGGACAAAAAAATTAGTTCTGACTCAGGCACACCACAAGCACCTTTGGGCCTGCCAGGGGACCTGAGGCATGAAGCCAGGGACCAGACACCCTGCCCACAACCATGTACACTGCCAGCACCTCGGGGCCTGCCCAGGGGCCCAGGGACTGGACTTCCTGCCCACATCCAGGCACACTGCCAGTGCCTCAGGGCAATGCCAGGGGCCTGGGGCATCAAGCCAGAGACTGGAACCCCCCTGCCCAAAACCAGGCACACCACCAGTGCCAAGGAACATGCCGAAAACATCACCTCCATGTGAATGGCCCACCACAGTCACCACAGTAACCACAGCTGCCATGAAAGTGGCTAGGCATCACAATCACCATGCAGAAGGTCCACCAGCCACTGGAGTGCAGTGACACAAGGAGAGTCACCAGCAGAGTCCAAAGAAAAGAATAGGATGTCTCTCTCCACAAA